ATGCTGGGGGTCTGAGGTGGCCCAGCACTGGTTCCAGCCGCCATGTGACGGGGGGCGAGGTCCGAGGCTCTGGGTTCGATCCGTTTTTGTCGATCTTTGGTTGGTCTCCGCGGGCTGTTTTCGGGCCCCGGGGCCGTCGCAAGCACAGATGGAGGTGAGCAACTGCCCCAGATGGACCCTGGGAGGCAGGGACCGATCTGAGCGGATTTGGCCGTTCCCCCTCTCTCGGCCGATTCCTTTGGGGCCCATCCAATGCAGACCTCTGGCTGCCTCCGGAGAGGGAGGGAGAGGGAGCGAGAGAGAGAGAGAGAGAGTGTGTGTGTGTGCCACAGCAGAGGCCTGCGACGATCGATCGAAGCCTGCACCGCATGAAGATGCTCTTCCACGCGGCCCGAGCCGGATCTACTTTCAGCACCGCCTGCCATCGCGATGCCTTGGCACACGTAGAGTACTACAGCTGGCACTGCGCTCGCAGAGCGGCCCCGGAGACGGAGCTGGGAGGGCCCTCCTCCTCCTCCTCCTCCTCCTCCTCCTCCTCCTCCCTGTCCTCCTCCTCCTCCTCCTCCTCTGTCTCTCCTACTCCCTCTCCTCCTCTTCCTCGACTTCCTTCCTCCTCCTCCGTTCTCCTCTCTCCCCCTCCTCCTCCCTTCTCCGCCTCCTCATCTACTCCGTCCTCCTGCCTTCCCTGGCTCCTCCTCCTCTCGCCTCATCTCTCTACTGTGACTCCCTCTCCTCCTCCTCCTCCTCACGGCTCCCAGCCCAGCTCGGCACGGAGATGGGAGGGCCCTCTGGAGGGCCCTGGGAGCGCCCCTGGGCGGCAGCGCCCCGGGGAGCGCCGCGGGAAGGCCCCGGGCCGGCCGCCCGGCCACGACGACAGGGGCTCCCGCTCGATACTCTCAGGAGGGGACCAAAACACACAGACACAACGAGTCGTCGATCCCCCAGGAACTGTGGGAAACTATGGGAAGTGGGGGGGAAGACAAGAGCCCAGAACGTGTGAGACACTATGGGGAATTCCTGATATTCGTGCGTATTTATGTGTGTTTCCCAGGGCCCCTTCAGACACGCCCCCACGATGCCCTCCGAGAAGCCCTGGCCCAGAAGGCCCCCAAACTCAGGAACGGCGCGCTCGCTCGAGGCTTTCCCGTAGTTCGGGCGAGCTGGTGGAGGCCTGGACACGGCGACGAGGGCTCCCGTTCGATACTCCTCCACCGGCACTCCGAGGGCCCCTGGCCAGAGAGGCCCCCGAGCTCCGGAACGGCGCTCTCGCTCGAGACTTCTTCGCACCCCAGTCAGTGGCCGACAAGGAAGAGATTCCCCCCGAAAGGGGGTGCAATCGAAGACGAAGTGGGCGGGTATCGAGGGTTGGGGTATATGGGGTGCAAGACACGCGTGCCAGTAAGAGCGAACAGTCTGAACATGATTGTTGTTGGGGCTGTTGTTGTTGTTGTTGTCGTCGTCGTTGTTGTAGTTGTAGTTGTAGTTGTAGTTGTAGTTGTAGTTGTAGTTGTAGTTGTAGTTGTAGCTGTTGTTGTTGTTGTTGTTGTTGTTGTTGTTGTTGTTGTTGTTGTTGTTGTTGTTGTTGTTGTTGCTGTTGTTGTTGACCTCTCATTTCTGAAGCATAACTATTGGTGATCCCCCCCCACCAGTGCATACTGTTGTTTTCAATTGAAGTGCCCCTCCCGGCGCTCGCACCCTGTTTTTTATCAGGGAAAGTCTTGATGCTCAAACTGGGCCCCTGGCCCCCGGGTTACAACAACAACGCTCCCGCTTGAGACTTTAGCCAGGACCCCCGCTCCCGCCTGAGACGTCCTCGCATTTTATTCAAGAATCGCGCTCTCGCTTTGGATTTCCTTACAATTTCTTCAGGAATCGCTATCTCGGCGCTCT